AGTGAAGCCAGTCCTGAGGAGACCTGATAGACTAGGGTCAGCGGGAAGGGGAGGAGGACCTCTTCTTTCAGTGGACTTGGGGAAGGGCAAGGGAGGAGATGAGGGAAGAAGGGTGGGGGATTGGGAGGGGACTAGGGGGGGCTATAGCTCTGATACAAAGTGAATAAACTGTAATTAATAAAACAAAAAGGGGGGGGGTTGAAGAGACACTATTGAAAAAGAAAAAAATAGTATTTTGCCTCATCTGAAGAATCAAGAGAAAAAAGAAGCCATAGAAATATGTTACTGCTTTTGCTCATGCTCATTGAGCTTGTGTGGAAGAAATAACTTGAAAAAGGGCCTGATAGATACCTGTCTCCTACTTTAGTGATCAAAGTCAGTGGGTGGAAGTTTAAATACCTTGCAGCCTGGCCCCTGGAGATACTTGAAACACGGTCTTTGGATTCTTACAGTGAAATCATGTCCCACACCCACCTCCAAGGGCTGGGGTTAATGGACCGTGCCACCACGCCCTCCTGACTTCTTCTCACTCCAAACAGACCATTAGGAGAGTTCTCAAACTTTGGCCACTTCCTCTGCCTCCTGTCTTCACTCCCCTCCCCTTCCAGGCACCAGGCACGCTGACTCACAGGGCTACAGCCTGCCCTGTTTGTGGCTCCCCTTTAGAGGTTTGGAGGTGCTTTCCCCAAACCCTCTTGTTCGTGGAAGATCTGTGAGTCTGTTCTGTTTTGTTTTGACAAGCACCTGTTTTCTGAACCTTTCATCACTTGTGCTGAATCTCATTCATAATCATCATTGCTTCTTAAACTGGGCTAAATTTTGCTGTCAGGAAGGATTAAGGAATGAAGAAAGCAATTGTTAAGGGCCCCAAGGCTGGGGGACCACTACTCAGATGAGCCAGGTAAGGGGGTGCTGTGGCCGTTATGCCTCTGCTTGTGTGCAGTCTCAGTCACCTTCCAGTTCGGAACTCTTAGCATCCTTTCAGCTGTAGAGTTTTTATGTTTACCTTTCTTTTTTGAAGAGGTTCTCACTGCGTAGCTCTGGCTGACCTGGCTCTGAGATCTGCCTGTTTCTGCCTCCCACAGCCAGGCCTGGCTGCATTTGGCTGTATTTGACGCACAGCAGTCACGGTTGTGGGGCTGTGTGTGACATCTCGATGCCTCACACGGAGTGCGTCGTTCAGGTCAAAGTAAGTGATGTATCTGCACCTCAAACACTTAGGTTTGTGTCAGGACCCTTCAAACTCCTCTCTGCAATGTACCTTGACGCTTTCGCTTAATTGTCACCTGCAGTCATTGCACTGTTGTGCCACAGCAGTTGAGATCGTGAAACCGAGCAGTGTTTGTGCCTTGTGAAAATAACAAGGTGGTGGGTGTGTGTAGCTCGGTGGTCGAGGGCTGCTCTACAAGACCCTCAGATGGTTGTCGGCCTGCGGCTCGCCACCTCTGGGGACCCAACGCCCTTCCCCGGGGTCACATCCCAGACGCCAGCATATCAGCTGTTCACGTTACGATTCATAACGCAGCAAAGTGACTCTCAGAGGTGGCAGTGAACCGCTTTCGTGGTTGGCGTCAGCACAGCGTGAGGAGCCGTATTGAGGGTCGCGGCGGCAGGAAAGTGAGACGGCTCCGGCACACACCGGTCTGTGAAGTCTAGCCTCCGGAGGGCAGGGCCCAGGGTGAGACCTACTGTAACTGAAATATTTGTAAATGCAAGGACAGGGGTGTGAAGGAGGCCTGCTCCAGTGCTGTCCGAGCACAGTGGCCAGGAAAGAGCTGGCAAGCCTTCACGACTGTTGAAGTGTGAGCGAGCTGGTGTGACTGTGGTTTGGGAGCCACCCGTGCGAAGCTGCACACGCTGTTTGTGCCGACTGAACTGGTGCTCCCGGTCAGCTTCGGGCTGACTGCTGACTGACGTGATGCATTTCAGAATACCACGCCAGGCAGCTGTGCGTTCTGACTAGCTCCTGTTTCTAGTAAGTGTACGGCCCCTGGCCCCGCTCGCATCGAGCAGGCTCTGTCCTAGGGCCGCCTCTTCCCCTTGCTAACTCCGGCCAAGTTATGTAACTCGAAGCCTGAAGAATTGGGGCTGTGGGCGTGGCGTTGTGTGGCCATGCCTCAGCTAGAAGCGTTGCCTAGATGTGTGTTCCGCCGTGGGCTGAGGAATGCATTGTTTCATAAAAATCAGCAGCGGAGGAAAAGCCCCGCTGGAACTCCAGGGATGGCTCACGCTGAGGCAGGAGTGCGGAGCGTCAGGCAGACCACGCACCTGTCAGCTCTGCCCAGGTGTGAGGCCCAGGGTCGGCCTCATCGGTAAGGCTTCTGTTTTCAGATTTAGGTATTTCCACAGGTCTTTCATTCATTCATTGGTTAATTAATTAATTAAATCTCTTTACAGCCTGATCCCGGCCCCTTCCTCCCCTCCTCCCAGTCACACCCTCCTACCTCCCTCCTCCTCTTCTCCCTCAGGGTTTTAGGGGGCATCAGCTACACCTCAAGGCACAGCAGGACTAAGCACACCCTCTCTTACTGTGGCCTGACAAGGCGGCCAGCTAGGGAGGGAGCCAGTGGCAGGGAACAGAGGCAGAGACAGCCCCTGCTCCCATTGTTAGGGAACCCACATTCTGTTAGGTTTTAAGGCAAACCCCACATACATATGCAGAAACCTGGATATGTGGATGTATTCTGGCTCCCTGTCTGTGCCCATAGCCGCTCTTGTGCCCTCTCCTTGGTGGAAAGGATTTTTTTTTTAACACTTTATTCACTTTGCATCCCTCCATCCTTCCCTCCCAATCCCACCCTCCCTTCCCCTTCTTCACACATGCCCCTCCCCAAGTCCACTGATAGGGGAGGTCCTCCTCTCCTTCCTTCTGATCTTAGTCTATCAGATCTCATCAAAAGTGGCTGCATTGTCCTCTACTGTGGCCTGGTAAGGCCGCTCCCCCCTCAGGGGGAGGTGATCAATGAGCAGACCAATCAGATTATGTCAGAGGCAGTCCCTCTTCCCATTACTATGGAACCCACTTGGACACTGAACTGCCATGGGCTACATCTGTGCAGGGGTTCTAGGTTATCTCCATGCCTGGTACTTGGTTGCAGTATGAGTCTCTGGGAAGTTCCCTGTGTTCAAGTTTTCTGGTTCTGTTGCTCTCCTTGTGGACCTCCTGTCCTCTCCAGCTCTTACTATTTCCCACTTCTTACATAAGATTGGTGGAAAGGATCTTAAACCCAGCTCTTGCACATAGCTTCAGGAGAGGACTGCGCTTTCAGATGTTGAAGGAATGTGGTCTCAGGGCCACAGACCTCATTTTGTGTCCTCAGCAGAAGGTGACGGGGATGTGTCTGAGGTGGGGCACAGGTGGGTAGAGTGCACAGAAGAGCAGGCGATTTTGTATCACTTTGCCGATCCCTCTGGTTTTTCATTCTGGCAGTGCACACTTTGGTTAGAAAACCAATTAAATTGTTCAACGCAGTTGACTAACAAAACAGTCTTACTTTTTCCTGCTTGTTCTTCCTAGCCAGCTGGGTGGGGGCCTCATCTCAGTGTGCTTCCGAGACTGCCCGCACCCTGGTCCAGACGTTAGACTTCAGGAAGAGCAAGCACACAAGTGTTTTCCTTGTTACATCCTTTTGGGAAGCTTTGCCTTTGTTTTGGAAATTAGGACATTTAAGTTCCTAAGATTTAGTGCTACCAAACCTTAAATGTCTCCCCATGTTTTCTTTTCCTTTTGTCTTCGTTTCTACAGTGCCTTGTTTACGTGTGCTAAGTGTGTGCCAGTCAGTCTACCGCCGTTTCCTCGGGGTATGAAGAGTCTGTACTTCAGGCTCAGCTGGGTTTTGATTCCTCACAAATTTGTCTACCTGCTTCTGCTGCAAGAATGAGGCGTGCTGTCAGGGTCCAGATTTTACAGAACAGAATTTCCGACGGCGGCATTAGGAAGTTACTGTAATAAGCAGATGAGAGCAAGGGCACTGAATGACACAGAACTGCTGGTGTTCCAAGTTCCCACTCTCACGTAGCCCCAGATGACAGCGAGCGCCAGCACTGTTATCAAGCACGGAAAACCTCAGGACCTTCCCTTAAGAGGAGAAGGAAGGCTCCCCATGCAGACCCCTTAGGCGGTCAGCGTGGTTCGGAGTCCTTGGAAGAAGGGTGGAGGTGCTGGATTGGAGAGAGGGCTTGTTTTCAGAGCGACCACGGACAGTGAAAACCTTCCCTGTGTGCTCATGTCCTGTCCACTAGTGACTGTTCCAGATGAACTAGGCTGTGGCTTGTACCCGCTGAAGAAACAATCACCCACTTTTTTATTTTTGGTTTTTCAAGACAGGGTTTCTCTGTGTAGCCTTGGCTATCTCATGGACTTGCTTTGTAGATCTGGCTGGCCTTGAACTCAGAGTTCTGCCTGCCTCCTCCTCTCCGAGCACCTGGCTAAATCACCTACTTTTTAAAGAAAGTCTTTTTTAGTCAGTTAAAGAATGGTTGTGAGAAATCAATAGTTTATAAGCTCAGTGTGCAGAAACTGTGATTGTGCATTTGTGCATGGGTGTGCCATGCTACAGAAGCATGGAGCCGTGTCACCATGGCTGGCCAGAGGGAGATTTTGTGAGGAATAAATGAGTTTGCTTTTGGAATTAGGGAGTACTTTGTATATAGTTACTTGGTTCATTTAATTCTGCAGCTGATGGTGCTGAGACTCGAAGTTTGGTGCGAGGACTTACCAAAGTGACACGTTTGGGCAAAACAAAACCCAGCTCGCGCTCGTGATTTCTGGGCCTAGAGCTTTTCACGTTACACCTCTGAAAGCCAGTCGAGGTAATTCAGAAGAAAGGAAGGTGGGAGGATGTTAAGAAAAGGAGGAAGGTCGTGCTGCACCGCCTTTCTGTGGCCCCAAATTCAGATCCACAGGTTTCCAGAGGCTGTTTAGACATCGTGCCCCCGATGTGCTGTGGAAACTGCCCCGGATCTGATGGTGTGCACTAACCATAATCTTTGCTTTTCAGGTGAGAGCTACGTGTGTGCCTCCAACGAGCCGTTTCGCAAAGTGGATTACACCAAAAACGTTAATCCGAACTGGTCTGTGAACATCAAGGGTGGTGCGACCCGAGCCTTGGCCGTGGCCTCTGTGAAAAGCGAGGTGAAAGAAAGCAAGGATTTCATCAAGCCCAAGTTAGTGACTGTGATTCGAAGCGGCGTGAAGCCCAGAAAGGCTGTGCGGATCCTTCTGAATAAAAAGACTGCCCATTCCTTTGAGCAGGTCCTAACGGACATCACAGAAGCCATTAAACTAGACTCGGGCGTGGTCAAGAGGCTGTGCACCCTGGATGGCAAGCAGGTGAGGCCTTTCTTTCTGCAGCCTGCTGCCTCTTCATTTAGCTAACCTATTGTTCGTCTTTGCAGATGTTTGAGGAGATGATCTCCAACTTGCTGTGTAGTACAGGCTGACCTTGAACTTGGGTCCTCCTTGTACTTCTAAGTGCTCAGCTCCAGAATATAGTGGTCTCCTGGAAGTAATAGCAGGTTCCCATGAGGAGTTTGTGTGTGAGTTAGCCCTTGGGATGAAAAGCAGAAGAGGCTTCCCTTTCTCCAAATATCCCAGAACGCATTGTGTGCTTCTTCAGTTTGTAGAAGGGAAGATGTAAATTCCGGGGGAAGTGTAAGTCGAGGTGCTGCCCTATGCTAAGCGAGGCATGATCCAGGACTAATTATCAATTAGTTGTTGTTGGCTTGCACGTCACAGAAATAAAAATTAAAGCCGCTTCCCATGTTTGGAAGGGTCCCCTAGCCTCCATGTTGTGTAATAAGGAAAACGCATTTCAGTGAAAGCGTGCTCACAGGAATGTCCAGATACATTTCTTCAGGAGCAATGGAGGCAGTTAATCAGCATTTCTGAAAAGAAAACCATTGGCTGGAATTATAGGAACATGTATCAAAGAATCTGATGTGTCTGAAAACTTGGGCAGTATGAAGAAAACGGAACGGTGAGGTGGAGTGTTGCCGGAAACTGATCATTCTTGCAGACAGAGAGGCTTCCAAAGTGTACGTTCTCAAATTCCATGTCCCGGATTATTTCTATTTGTATGATATTAAAATTTTACTTTCCGATATTAAATTTCTTCATTTATTTCTCCCCCACATTCTCTGTTTTGGAACCTTTGAGAGTGGGCACGGAGGCATCAGAGCTGAGGCTTCTGGGAAACGGGACAGTGTCTGAGACCCGACCTTGTGACCAGGTGCTCGCTGCAGCATCTTGTAAGGATTGCAGTGTGGGGGTGAGCTTAGGGGGAAGTGCGTGTTTTATGAACCCTGTATTCAGGCTCAAGGTTCCACCCTCAGCACCAAAAATGAACAAGAAAGGCCAGTGTGGCGGCATCGCTTTTCATGCTAGCACTCAGGACATAGTGAGATCCTGTGTCAGAAGCTGAAAAGAGAAACACGGGAGCAGCAACCACCGAAACCAAAGCAAAACAACCCAGAAAAATAAATAATAGATTCTGGGCTTCTGGCAGAAGAGAGTGAGATTAGATGCTGGAGTTCATGACCGATAGCTCCACAGTATTAACAAAAACAGACGCGTGTGCAAAAGAGTGGATATCCAGCACAGTGCAACATAAACAACACGAGATTTATTGTACATGTATGTGAAAATAGGTTGGGTGACAGGAACCACAATGAGGTGAATTAGAAAGGTGGTTCTGTAGGCACGGAGGAGGCAGGAGGGAAGAGGACCACTGTTTACTTCTTACTGTTACTTCTTTCTGTATGAGTACTCTGTCTTTCTGTACGGGTGCTCACCAGAAGAGGGCACCAGATCCCACTGCAGATGGTTGTGGCCTCCGTGTGGTTATGGGGAACTGAACTCAGGACCTCTGGAAGAGCAACCAGTGCTCGTGACCACTGAGCCATCTCTCCAGGCCCGAGTAGATAGTTAACATATCTAACCAAAAGGAAAAGTAACCTAAATGTGCCAAATTAAAAACACAGAAAAATGTGGCGTGGCTGGTTTTAATGGCACATGCCTGCGATCCCAGTGCCTGGGCAGCTGAGGTGGGTGGATCACGAGTTCAAGGCCAGCCTGAGTTGAGTTTATATCACGAGTTTGAGGCCAGCTTGTAGCAAGATACCCTATCAGCCTCCTTTAAAGACACACACACACACACACACACACACACTCACACACTGAATAAAATAGAAAGGTGGCATACAATAATAATTACTGATGAGATTTCAAAAACGAGAACTCAGATTTGGAAATCTCAAAATGAATGACATTCATGGACTACGTAAGGAAAACAAGGTAACTGAACATTTAATTGAGGTAGTAGATATTGAATTGTAGTAGATTAACCCAAGAAACTCTTAAAAGATTTCTCATTAGAAATGTAAATTTTTCATGTGAACTTTTTTGGAGAATTTCCTACACAAGTACTAATTTTACATCATTTCCACCTCTCCTCCCTGTGCTCCAGCTCCTCTCGTGTCCCTTGTTCCCCTTCCTCTCAAATCCATGACGACTTCTGTAATTACCACTTCACGTGTGCCCCTACACCCCGTACCGACACACCCCCTCACACACACCACACACACACACACACCACACACACATACATACACCACACACACACATACACCACACACACACACACACCACACATACACATATACACATATACCACACACACACACACCCTCAC